TCACTGGGGAGCAGGGGGGCCGGTCCTGGGGTCATGCTGCTCGCCCCCCTGCTCCACCAGGCGCCTGGCCCCGTCCCGAGCCCCCCGGATCACTTCGCAGGACTCCTGGGCCCGATGTTGGCAACGCCGAGATTTGCAGGCAAGTGCTGCCATGGCGTGGGGGTGGGAGTGGGGCTGCAGGTACAGCCTTAACACGGGTGGGCTTTTGCGGTCACGTGGCCCCTTGTACCCTGCATCAGAGCATCCTAATCCACCCCTCGGGGCACACTCTGGGGTGGGGGGTGTCCCTGACCTCTTTGCCTGGAGTGGCCACAGCCCTCCTGCCCATTCCTGTCCCCAGCACAGGGATGGGCAGGGAGGCTGACGTGCCCCTGGGGGGCGTTGACAGGGTGGCAGGGGCTGGGGAGAAGCGGCCAAAGGCAAAGAAGCCCTGGGAGATGGAGGAGCAGCCCCAAAGGCTCATCCGGAACCCAGAGCGGGGCTGTGCTGGTCCCTGTGGGGTGGGTGAGTGCTCCCCACCCCTGCCTGGTGGCCCCAGCCCAGCTGTGCCAGAGGCACTCAAGCCCAGTCCTGGGGCAGCGGAGGGGGTGAGCTGCCAGGGCAGCCGGCCCCAGCCCCGCCGCGTGGACTCAGAGGAACTGCTGTGGAATGTGGCAGTCAGGGACCACTCCCTGGCCAATGTCCATGCCCCTTTGGCCCCCTTTGGTACCACCACTGAGGTGATCGGTGAGCTGCTGGTGGCGGGGGAGCGACAGGCCTGGCGGGAGCGTCTCCAGCAGGACTGGCACCTGGAGGCCCTGGCACAGGACAGGTAGGGCTGGTGTGGCACTGAATGCTGTGTGGAGGGCAGGCTGCACCCTGCCACCCCCAGCACTGACCCCTGCCCCCCCAGGCAAGGCTTTGAGCCCATCTCGCCACCCCCTGGGAGTGTTGCCAGCTCCAGTTCCTTCCCGGTGCACTACACTGCAGCAGCAGGCAAAGCTGAGCCGCTCAGCAAGGTGACAGCACTGCCAGAGGTAGTGGAGGGGAGCTCAGAGGATGATGATGATGAGGAAGTGGACCAGGAGCTGGTAGAAAAGAAGGTACGGGGACTGCTCAGGCCAGCACCCTCGGGGTTCCCCACTGCCCTCACCAGGTGCTCATGGGCACTGGGGGCATTGTGGGATTTTCACAGGGATTGGGGCATCACTGATGGCTCACGGGAACTGAGGGCATCACTACGTGCTCATGGGGACCAGGGACATTGCTGGGTGCTCGTGGGGACCAGGAACATTGCTGCATGCTCACAGGGGCTGGGACATTGCCAGATGCATGCGAGGACCAGGGGTGTTGTCAGGTGCTTGTGGGGCCTGGGAGTGTCACCACATGCTCATGGGGAGCGCGGACATCTCCAGATGCTCAGTGCTTGCAGGGACTGGGACATTCCCAGATGCCCACAGGGTCCAGGGGCATTCCTTGGCTGCTCATGGGGTCTGAGAAATTGCCAGATGCTTGTGGGGACTGGGGGCATTGCCAGTAGCTCATGGGAACCAGGGATACCGCCGGGTTCTTGTGTCCTGTGGGGCTCAGCACAGTGCCCTACACCCCTGTGCCAGTCCCCCAGTCCCATGGGGGGTGGCCCCAGTTGCCCCTGACCCTTTTGCTCTGGCAGCTGCAGCTGATCGAGAGCCTGAGCCGCAAGCTGGCGGTGCTGCGGGAGGCACAGCGGGGGCTGCAGGAGGACATCAGCGCCAACGGGGCGCTGGGCGACGACGTGTCTGCCCGCCTGCAAGCCCTCTGCACCCCAGGGGAGTTCGACAAGTACCGCCTCTTCGTGGGTGACCTGGACAAGGTGGTCAACCTCCTGCTCTCCCTCTCGGGGCGCCTGGCCCGGGTGGAGGCTGCCCTGGGCAGCCTGGGGCCACATGCCCCCGCCGAGGACAAGGTGGGCATGGGGCAGGGAGGCACCTGCGAGGCCTTGGGGTGTGGGACACCCTGCCAACGCCACCGTCTCGCCCACAGCTGGCCCTGCGGGAGAAGCGGCGGCTGCTGGTGGCGCAGCTGGAGGATGCCAAGGAGCTGAAGGAGCACGTGGGGCGGCGGGAGGAGGCGGTGGGTGCCATGGTGGCGCGGTACCTGCCCGCCGAGCACCTCCAGGACTACCAGCACTTCGTCAAGATGAAGTCAGCCCTCATTGCTGAGCAGCGGGAGCTGGAGGAGAAGATCAAGCTGGGCCAGGAGCAGCTCCGGTGCTTGCGCGAGAGCCTTGGCCAGGCCTCCAAGGGCTGCTAACCCCCTACCAGCCTCCCTCTGGGACCCTGGCTGTGGCCCCAGCTTGCTGCCAAAGCAGATCCAGCCCCTCATGGGCTCTCCCTATGTCTGTCC